CTCTCTCTCTCTCTCTCTCTCTCTCTCTCTCTCTCTCTCTCTCTCCCTCTCTCTCTCCATCCCTTTCTCTCCTCCTCCCTCCACCCTCTTTCTCACTCTCTTCTTCCCCTCTCTCTCTTCACTCTCTCTCTCACACATTGGGATTGGCATCTGGGATCAGGGTTTTAGACAAGGGTCACCCTTCTCGTCTCCTGATTGCATGCTGCATGTTAAAGCGGGGTGAATACTTGTCTAACTTGTCGGATACGCTTGATCGGGTCGGAGCAGAGACCCAAAATCAGACAGTGCAGAGGTGTCAAACGGAAATACAAAAGTTTCTGTGTTATTCTGTAAGGCAACTCAAAGGAACATGCTTCGTTTGGGCATATATTTTTATTCTAAGGTTTTCATAATAGTATTGTCAGACGACATTAAATAATCAGATTTGAAAAGGGTATTTGTTTTGTTGATTGGACACTAAGAACATCGAGTGGACACATCAGCAGCAGCAGTACCTTCATAATCTAATTTCAAGTTTTAAAAATCGCTCTCAAACTGTCTATAGCACAAAATTTAATCGTGTTAATTTTTTTTCTTTGAGCGACACATACTAACCCATATATCAGATGAAAGAAATGAAAACGTTTGCTTAAGAGCGCTTGTGCTCCCCCAAAAATGGTTAGATTCTGTCAATTTTCTTTCAACTCAGAAAAAAATATTGTTCAGAATGCACGTGAAATAAAATCTCGTGACAGTTTACCCCACTTTAAAGTCTTGCGTGCCGGGCAGAGAAATGATCGATTCGAACGATCAGCTGTACAAGAAGAACGTTCTCCAGCCCCTTGCCTCAGCCTTGTTAAGCCAGGCGTTCTGTGGACTGTTAGGTCGAGCTGAGCAATTATTGTATTAGAGATGGGGAAATTGTTGTTTCAGCTTCCGATGGAACTGTCTTCATTTTCGAAATGTTTCTTTTTTATCTTTGTCTTTGTCTCTGTCTCTGTCTGTATGTGTGTATGTCTGTCAGTCTGTCTATCTATCTGTCTGGCTCTCTGCTTCTCGGCCTATCTGTCGGTCTGTCTGTCTGCTTGCTTAGCAGACGTTTTACGGCGCTCGCAACTGCATAAGGTCATATGAACGCCAGAAGATTAGAGGTGTTACAAGAGAGTAACAAACATAAAAAAGAAGAAGGGGAGATAAGGACGATAGATGTTTGATAG